AGATAGATAGATAGATAGATAGATAGATAGATAGATAGATAGATAGATAGATAGATGCAGTCTTGGGGAAATGCCCATGGCTTGGCGAAGACAGAGGGCTGTGTGTCCTTGCTTCGTTGGTTTCTCCCAGCAGCCTGTGTAGTTGGGGCAACTGTAACTGTCTACTGTGTGGAGTACCTTGGGGTCTCAAGGGACTCTGTGGAATTCTCTGGGGCAGCATGGGGTCAAAGCTGGTCCTTAAGGCAGCTGCAGTGCTGCCAAGCCTTGGGATTCTGTCCAGTGTCGTAGCTGTCCAGTGTTGGTTGTGGGAGCTGCCTCCAGGAGGCCAGCTTCCCGGGAAGCCTTTCAGGCCTGTTTTCCCACCTTATATAGCACCATCTTAATGCTCTTCCAGATCTGCCAGAGCCACAAGTCCTGTGAAATTGACCCTGTGAAGTTGAAGGATGGTGAGAACCTTGAGAACAACATGGTAAGGTACCCGCTTTGTTCTGAGACAAGAAGATAGTCTCCTGTTGGGGCTTTCTGCTCATGGCCATATAGACACTGTTTGAAGGTCTCACGCAGGGTGGGGATGACTGGGCCCCAAGCCATGTCTCAGGCTCTTGATCCGGAGTACAGTATGGAGCCCACATGCACTATCAGCATCATGCCTGTTACCCCCTAATCCACCCCCACTCTTAGAGGCTCCCTCGGCCTCCAATATCTCCTAGAGACCCAGACCTGTGAGCCCAATGACCTGACCCATGAACTCCACTGGTTGTCAACTCAGGACCAACAAACCTCTCCATGTGAAGCATGTCAGACTGTTCGAAGGGCTCACACATTCTAGTGTCTTCTTATGCCTTCACACAGAGCAGGCTTTGTTAGGGTCACGCTTTTAAACAGAAATGTGGGTTCCTCGGATCCTAGTGAAGTTCAGTCTACATTCCGTGATGCTGAGCAAGAGGACCCAAGGGGTTGAATTCTGTAGCCACTCAACACAGATCTTTACAGGGAGTGTGTTTGCGAGTATCACAGAGGTCTGGGCTCCCCTGTCCTTGGGCATGTCTCTGGTGCTGTCTTGGCCTTAGGGAGACTCTAGGTCTAATTTCCCAACTCTTGAAGGAGAGCCTGCGGCAGTACGTGGATCGCATCTTCACTGTCATCACAAAGTCCGGAGTGAGCTGTCCTACCGTCATGTGTGACATCTTCTTTTCCTTGCGGGAGGCAGCTGCCAAGCGCTTCCAAGGTGAGCCACGGGGTCTGAGCCGAGGTGCGAGGACTCAGCCGTCTTGGCTCATAATTCTCCAGTCTCTAGGAAAGAACACCATAGAGTGTGAACATGGCCTCCCAGAGCTGCCTTCAGATGGTTTCTTCTTCGGGTCATGAATTCTGAGTCACTGCATTACCAAGACAACCAGCCCCTTAGGGGGGCCTTTCCCTACCAAGAACCCCAAGTGTCAGGAGATCCAGGACCCACTCCTGCAGACCTGATCCTTCCTCCCACTGACTCCTGGAGAAGCAGAGATGCCCTCCCTACAGCCCCCCCCCCAAACTGCATGCATCACCCTGCAGAACCCATATATGCATGGCAGCCTCCCTTCACACTGTGTTAGTCCCCAGACTAATGGGACCCCATAGGCCTTGAGCCCAACGCCTGTCCTATGCAGACTGGACCAAGCCTCTCAGGCTACCCTCTACCTACTTCAACTCATACGTCAGTGCTATTGGCCTCTCCTATCCCAACCCCTACCCCACACCATCCCTCCAGCCCCACACTCACCACTCCAAGCAGATCCCAAAGCATGTGAGTCCCCATCACTGTTCCACACACAGTCTGTTGAACACAGACTGCATCTCAGGACAGAGCACCTTGCTCTTGGGACCATCCTCTGGGAAAGAAGAATCTGCATGAGTCATGCAGACCCCAGGCAGCTCTGACCCCAGAGCTCTGGGTAGGCTCTAGCAGGCTGCAGGGCGCTAGGGAGGGAGCTTCTGATAACAAAATAAAGTTATCGTCTCAACCCAGATGGGAGTAGAGCCCCCAATAATGAGTCCTCAGGAGGCCCTGGTGAATGACGTCACGTCTGTGACCCTCAGCTGCCAGCCTGTGTCCTCTTGTGACATATGAGAGAAACAGATAGGTAGACAGAGAGACAGAGGCAGAGGGATCTAGAGACAGGAAGAAATATGTAGAAATACGACAATACTTTTGAGACAGACAAAGGAGCAGCAGAGACATACAGATATATAGACCGAAGAGACCAGACAATGCAGAAGAAACTCATGAACAAAAAGAGACAGAAATGGAATCTTAAGCCTAGTCTAGCTCATCAGCGAGGCCCTTGAGAATTGCCGGGCAAGATCAGAACCCGATACCGTTGCTTCTGTCCCAGGCTGAGTGTTCCGTCTGCTTACAGATGACCTGGATGTGAGGTACACAGCTGTGAGCAGCTTCATCTTCCTGAGGTTCTTCGCTCCTGCCATTCTGTCCCCAAACCTCTTCCAGCTGACACCCCACCACACAGTAAGTGAGCTGTCCTGCAAACCAGCCAGCCAGCCAGCCAGTCCTCCGCAACTAGGCAGTCCACCTTAACCAGCCAGTCCTCCTTAAATAGCAAGTTTTCCTTAACTAGCTAGGCTTATGCGAGTGGAAGAGAGGGTGGGTTGAGCAGTTTTATCCACTCTGATGGAAGAATTGATACTATTTTATCTTTATCTTGTTTTGTATTTGTGTATGTCTAGGTATGTGTTGGGGGTCACACGGGTCAAACGTGGGTATCTTTCTTCATGCACCAGCCATCTCACTCTCTGAGACAGGGTCTCTCTCTGGGACCCGGAGCTTGCCGTTTAGGCTAGAGTGCCTGGCTCCAGGGATCTGTCTGTCTCCACATCTTCAATGCTTGGATTACAGATGCATGCTACCCTGTTCCTCTTTGTATGTAGGTGCTAAGGATCAAACCCCTGCTCCTATAACAAGCACTTTATCAGCTGAACGATCTCGCCAACCGCTAGTTAATACTGTTTTAAATAATACTGCATGGTCTGATCAGAGTCTTACCCAATCCTCTCTACTAGTGTTCTTCCCACCACCTAAGATATACAAGCACTTGTTTCATCTGCTCATGGTGCACGTGCTATGGCCAAGCCCCGTCTGATAGATATAGCCTTCTACTGGGGTGACATATGTATACCTAGTAGAGGCAAGGTGCAGGAGAACAGCCCCATGCTAGGAGTTCTCCACCCTCCGTGTCATGTCAAAGCTGCAGGCGTCCCTAGCCAGGGTTATGAAACCTCAACAAGTGTGACAGTGATCTCCTGGGCTGCTCTAATTTTGGGAGGGATCTTTGCATCTCATGCAGAGAGTCCTCAGCCATGTGGCTCATCTCAGCTAGCAATGCTTGATGAAATGGGCTCCTGGTGTGTGACAGGGTCCAGACCTGGGCAATGCAGATTTTCCTGAATCTCTACCAATGTGTATACTGCCTGTGACACACACTCCTTGTCCAGCAAGAAGGAACGATCACAAAATCAAGAATCCTTCTCAATCACAATTTATTGGAGCCACTTGGTTGAAAGGGGGAATGGGGGAAAGGGATGACGAGAGAAAGAGAGAGAGAGAGAGAGAGAGAGAGAGAGAGAGAGAGAGAGAAACCCAAAGGCAGCCGCTTTTCTAGGGTGAGAGGCTCGAATGCTGATTGGTTGATGCCATTCTGCTAGGGCCCAAGGCCACAGGACCAAGGCACTGAAATGCAAAACACAGGCCCCAAGCATACTGGCCTGCGTGGCAGCATCAAAGGATCTGTATACCTCCAGGCTGTAGGACCGCTGGCACTATCCTGTCAAGGCGACATCCTGGCGGCTCCTTACAACTGCCATTCTGTGCTAGGTTTTAGACTAGTGGTTCTCAACCTGTGGATCATGACCCCTTTTGGGGGTCAACTGACCTTCTCACAGAGGTCCCCTAAGACAATCAGAGAACACAGATGTTTGCATTATGATTCATAACAGTAACAAAGTGATAGTTATGAAGTAGCAACGAAAATAATTTTGTGGTTGGGGTCACCACGAATGAGAATCTGTTATTGAAGGGCTGCAGCGTTAGGAAGGTCGAGACAGTATCGTTTGTCTCATCTTATTCTGGGATTGACAGCTGCTCTTCCACAGAACTGATAAAACCTACATTTCTTTTGTCCTGTCCCTTCAGGATCCACAGACGTCTAGAACCCTGACACTTATCTCAAAGACGATCCAGACTCTGGGCAGCTTGTCCAAGTCCAAGTCTGTAAGTCTATGCTCATTTCATCTTTTTAGAACAGTGGGCTGCTGGTTCTGCCTCCTCTTCAGAAGCATATGGGGAGGGTGGGCTCATCACAGCTGCTAGGACAGCAGACAGAGTCAAAGCCAGCGTTTCCATCTCCCAGCTCCCAAAGTTCCAATCCCAGCACTTCCTTCAGCCTCTACCCTCACCAGTCACTGCAGGGGAGATTCACTGGCCATAGTGGTGAGCAAATCGGCCCCATCTGACTCTTTAAGTGGACAAGATAGCTGAGCCTCCTCAGCTTTGCCCTAGGACCCCTAGCCATAGTAGGCCAGATATGTGGTATTGCCCTCGGCTGTTGGCACTGTAGGAGTAAAACCTAGGGATTGTCTGCAGCTGCCATTCATCCATCTGCAGCCTCTACATCCTGGACAGCAGAGGCGAAGCCCCTCTAGACCCTTTGGCCATAAGTCTGCATTTCTCCTTCATCATCAAATGCCCCAGACCAGGGGTTGATGCTGAGGTGTCTGACTTGTCCCGGATGCCTGTTCCTACAGACCGTTGCTTTGATCCACGCTGCTGGCCCCAGGCTGCCGTGACCACATCTGTAGCTAGTTTATAGCCCGTAACCCCAATTCCCAGGGTTGATAAGAGCACAGACGTGCTTTGAGCCAGGGGCTTCAATGTAGACTCCCAGCAATCTCTATGGGTAGTACCTCAGAATCCCAGCTTCCTGTAGACACCTCTGGGTGGGGCAGCCTCTAGGTGGAGCTGTATTCTTACCATTCATCCATGTGGCCTGGAATGGCCTCACCTCTGACACCCTAGGCTTGCCACTGTGTGTTGCAGCTTTCTGGTCTTTGGCCATTGGTGCTGATGGTTGTTAACAGATGACCTGTTTCATTTCAGGCCAGTTTTAAGGAGTCATACATGGCGACATTCTATGAGTTCTTCAATGAGCAGAAGTACGCAGATGCTGTAAAAAATGTAAGTGTCGCGCCCTCCAAGGCACAGCTCCCCACTCTCTCTCCATGGCCTTTGCCAGGACCTACCTGCCCTCTAAACTGAGGTTGGCCTGCCTGCCCTAAGACTCTCCTTTGGCTGCCCTCAGAGCCTAGTGTGAAGGTTCACCTGTTTTCTGTGCCGAAGGCCTTCTATTACGTTACTTTCTATTGCTATAAAACACTAACCACAACCAACCTGGGGAGGAAAGGGTTTATTTGCCATACACTTCTACATCACAGCCCATCCCTGAGGGAAGTCAGGACAGGAACTCAAGCAAGAACCCGAAGGCAGGAATGGAAGCAGACATCACAGAGGAATGCCATTGAATGACTTATTTTTTCATTGCTTGCTCAGCTTGCCTTTTGTTTTGTTTTCAACATAATATTTTTATGGATTCTTCGGGAATTTCAGGTCTTATACCATGATCACACTCAACTTCCAGTCTTTCCATGTCCCCCTGACCTTGTGGTCTCCCCGCTCAACAAAGAGGAAAACAAACAAAACCAGTTCAGCTTGTGTTATCTGTGTCCCCACTATAGAGTAGTCAAGCTCTCAGTGGCTTGACTCTGCCCCTTAAGTAGAACTGAGACCTCCTCTCCTGTGTCTGCACTGCAAGCCATTGATTATGGAGTCTGCTTGTTTCTTATATCGTCCAAGACCACCTACCCAGGGTAGCAGCGCCTACCATGGGCTGGTTCCTCCTTCGTCGGCCATTAATCAGGAAAATGTCCTAGAGACGTGCCCACAGGTGATCTGAGGGAGGCAGTTCCTCTTCCCAGATATGTCTAGGTTTGTGTTGAGTTGACCAAAACCAATGTGCACAGGTCTTATGCTGATCGTGTGTTAACACCGGTGTTTGCCGCCCGAGTCTTGACCTGATATGTAGGTAGACACTGATACTTCAGGACTCTGGGCTCTGCTTTTCATCTGCCATTCAGAAGTGGTCTACACAACTGCTTCTTTGGAAATCATAAAGCTCTGAGCAGTGAAAGGGAACTAGGGACTGAAGCCAGGGTGAACGTCAATGGACGGAAGGAATTCCAGGAGTGGAGAGGTCACACGCCAAAGCTCAGGGCCAGGGAGAAGAGTGACCTCAGCCAGGCAGACCTAGCAGGGCTCTGAATGGGCTAATGCCTCCCTCCCATGTACCTCAGGATGTACCACTAGAACCCGCCTCCCTCCCATGTACCTCAGGATGTACCACTAGAACCCGCCTCCCTCTCATGATTCTCAGGATATACCACTAGAACCTGATTTAGGCCCACGAAGCTCAGGTAGCATCCCTAGCAGGTGCCTGGCTCCTGGTGAGAGCCCCAACAAGGTCACGGCAGATGGACAAGGCCTGGTAGGATGGACTGAGCTCATCTACTGGAGACAGAGCTGACCCTCCAGCTCTCTCAGGACTCACACCCCCAGATCTCTCCACTGGCTTCTGAAGAGGTCTACGCACCCAGCTAGGGCTCTGGCAGGTCAGACTCTGTCCCCGTGCGTCCCTTCTGACGGTCCCATTTCCTCCCACTTCAGTTCCTGGATTTGATCTCATCCTCAGGAAGAAGGGACCCCAAGAGCATAGAGCAGCCCATCCTGCTTAAAGAAGGGTAAGGAATTGGGTAAGGAATTGGGGAGACTGTGGTATAGTTGGCCTCTTTCTCCGCCCCCACCCTTCCCATCCTGTAGACCTGCCTGAGGGAATGCATCCTGCTCTCGCTTGTGTGAACTTTGATGGGCATGCCTAGTTCCTGTGAGCCCTTTTCTGCATGTCAGTTCCCAGTTCCTCGTGGAGACCATGCTTACCTAGCCCCATGTCCC